GGCGTACGTGCAGGTTGGTCGCTTGGATGCTCGAATGGCCACACTAGTGCTGATGTCGACACTAGTTCTGACAATTATCAACGGAGGCTTCGACGGCGGTGTAATTATCTCTGCTGAAGCTGCCCTCGATCCTATGTGCGCTGCTTCCAACCAGTGGTTCTGTAGTCCGACCGACCTCGTGTTATCAAAGGGACCGATTTTATGGATTGTAAGTTTGGGAAAGTAAAGAAGAAGAAGAGGAAGAAGATCGAAAATGAAGGAGAGGAGAGGTCCTTCAGTGTTTTTCGTTCTGATTCTCCCCTTCAGTTCGGGCCACAGCTTCTCAGGCCCACTTGAAATCTATTAGCAAAAAGCCAACGTTGAGATGGCTTGAGGATTGGTAAGCCCAGCCGAGCGGACCAATATAGAGAACACTTAGGTCTGTTTTCTTCCTTGGATCAAAATCCTTGGAAAACAGAGAATTGATATGGAAGATGAAGTACGAAAAGAAAAGTGCAGAAATCTAAAGAACACACGATATTTTTAACGTGGTTCACCCTGGTGCAATGGGCTACGTCCACACCTACGACTTCTATTTTATTTTCTTTACGATCTAACTTACAAGTACAAAAGAAGCAAATCGAAATAAAGATTCAAAGAGAAATTCTAGAAACAAAGTAGAATGACGAATAAACAACCCAAATTGCAAACTCCGGAATTTGTATCAGCCACTAGCACTACAAAAAAAAAGGGTCTATGGCAAGGGTTATTTTCCTTCGTAGCAAGGGTTTTAACCCCTGCTACAGGATTTAGCAAGGGTTTAACCAACCCTTGGACGGACCCTTGGCAAAGCCGCCCCTGCTACGTGTAGCAAGGGTTTAAACCCTTGCTACACGTAGGTGAAAATTCAAGCATGTGTTGCTCGTACCAGCAGTTAAAACCCTTGCATAATTCGTTCCTACATCTAGCAAGGGTTTCGACCCTTGCTACAGGCCTTTGTAACTTTATGTAAAATTGCTGAAGATACGCTACTTGCAAGGGTTAAAACCCTGGCACAGTTTGTGACTAAAGCTAAAAAAACATTTGTGTCGAAATCAAAATGGTCACTAAAAGTCGTCACTAAAGAGAGGCAACAAGATTCGTGGCAAAAGCTTGGTTACAAACCCTGGTCATTAAAACAAATCCAGAACCAAGTTTGTTACTAAAACTCATACCATATACCCATTAATCATAACATAATATGATTCATAATCCAAAATGGTGTTCTTTACATGACTAAATACTAATCACCATGAACATTCAAACATACTCAAAAGAACCCAAAATGGTGTTCTTTACATGACCAAATTCATACCATATACCCATGAATCATAACATAATATGATTCATAATCCAAAATGGTGTTCTTTACATGGTGTTCTTTACCATCGACCATTTCCAAAATGCTTCATACGACATTTGATCACGAAGCTCGAGATCCCATTGATGGTGTAGGAGCACTAGTGGCACCCTGCTCATAAAATAAAATAAAAAATCATAAAGAAAACAGAATTTTCTCAGTCATAAACACACACGCTTGGCAACAACTTTCCAGCACATAGATTCAGTCAAAGCCACCATTGCTAGTCATAAACACACAAGCTTCCATCATCAAACTAGATCATTACCCTGAATAGAAATTTTACCATCAAATCATTAGAAAATACTACTTATAACTACAACTGCATTTCTAAGTGTGCCTATGGCATTCAGCTGCAAGAGAAACACTGAACCGACTTAAGGAATTTTGACTCTGGCAGCATTCAGCAAGAAATGTTAGAAATTTGGGAGTTGTATGGAAAAAGATTAAAATATAGGCAAATAGGACAATTATGAGTAAGTGTTAAGGGCAAGTATTGACAACCATTCAATTGTTTCACATTAGAACTGCAACCTGGTCCTCGTTTCTCATTATCAAAGCTACTCTGCATCTAATTCGCTACCTTATGTTCCAAGTTTGAAGAAAGGTACATGGAGAAAGGAACTAACAACTACTACAATCAACCAAAATGTTGCAACAGCATATGAGAAAGCACCACTACAAATAATTCAAGTAGAGTATAGAGGAATGGAATGCTCCACTCCATCATGAAATTACAGAATAGACTCAAGCTCAAGCACTCAGCTCATGGGTCAGCATACTCCACAATGTGATGTTAAGCAGTAAATACCTAATATCATTACTCAAACATGATACTCACACTTATGGAAGATAAAAACAGAAGTGCACTGTTAGGTTTGGTTGCATGATTTGGATAGAAATAAAACCTCCCATTACCAATGTGATAACAGAAGACACCCTCAACTCCAAAACATGTATGTAACCAACTTAATGTGGACACGATACAACAATAGAAGGAAGGGGGGCTTAGGGTAGCACATCAAAAACAGAACCAAAAAAATTCAGATGTAATTGATTAGGAGAAAAGACAGATGGGACATTACCTAGAAGGAAACCCTAGCACTAGTACATTAAACAGAGTTCTTTCCAACTAGAAGGGATCATCTTATCGAAAGAGAGCAAGGGAGAACCTACCTTCAATAAACAATTGGGATGTAGTGTAACCCCATCTGCGGCTCTGTCAACTTTGAACCAATCAACTGCTATTAGCTTGAGAAGTGGATCTCCACCCACCACCTGAATTATTATTACAACCAGTGTAAGCATAGAAAAGAAAACTAGTCGCCTAGCATGAGAAGTGTACAGCAGCACCATCTATGGTGATGATAATTAACAAGGAATCACCTCATTTCAGATTAAAGTATCACGCTTACAATTTCAAACAAATTCATAAATAATGACCTAGACTTATAGAACTAAAAATACATTATTTACACTATAAATAATTCTTTGATTAGTCGTCAACGAGATCTACTTATTATGTTTCATAACTATATATAATAATAGTTTTTATTATGAAAAGTGCCATAACTAAAAATGTAGGTTAGTTCCATATGTGTACTGTAAACAAGATCAGCTGACCAAACTCTATCCCCAGAACAAGAAACGAAAAAGGGAAGAGACAGTTGGTGCCAAGCTACTAAGATTGGCAACAGATTAATAAGTAATTGACAAGTCCTGTTACACCCAAACATATCACTAAGCAGGCTATTACATAGCACCAATTTGAACCAAAGCTGCTGATACAGAGTCCTGCCTACCACTTCAACTTAATCCAACTGCCAGTTAATGAAATCGGATCATGATCAATGTTTATTAATTGGATCAAAAATTTACCCTTCAGGTGCATGTAGTAGCAGAGTAAGGATCATCTTATACTAATCAAGAAAACAAAGTTTTGATCTTAAACCCCAACCAGGGTAGAAAACCCAGAACCAGAATCAGTCAGAAATAATTACCAAGAAAAAAGACAGATGAGACATTACCTGATTGTTTTCAGCATCTTCCATCCAGTTTTGTCCTGGAAACTTCCTACTGACGAACCTCGCCATGGCCTGAACGGCAAAAATATTATGATACTGAGGAACAAAATGATAGAACTATATCGCCCTTAGAACTATAGATGCACTTAACCATATAAAAAAGATCACCAACTACAGTTTGGAAACTCTAGACTATAGATGCACGAAGTCATGGAAACAAAAGGAATTAGAATCTCTGGATGTCCAATTAAGCCTCAAATAAATTGCAAAGTTAAAGCAGAACTAAACATTAGAGATTTTCCTGGAACACAAATTGCAGCAACCGATCAAAAGAAGGAAGAACCTATACTTTCAATGATCTAGACCAACTGGCAGTATCATGTACCTATCTATTGGGGATCAGAGAGCGTCACCATAAAGTTCCCCACACTGTTTTCCCGCAAGGAATCCAGAGAAACAAGAGGGAATCTTCCATTTGATTGGCAGACACTTCCCTTTTTGCAGCAGCAGCTCAACGGTTATAATCCCACCTCAACAATAATATAACCAACACTTAAACCAATCAAAAGTCTAATCATGCCACCTTCAGCAGCCATGCGAAATTGCTGGAGCTTCCTATTAAGTAACTGAGGGTAAAATGAACTAACATATATAGAGAAGAACTAAAGATGGAAGTCTTACAAGCGTCGAATTACTAGGCATGAAATTTCAATAAGAATGAGAACATAGAATCAAGTAAATAACAAACCATAATTGAGTGGATTAAGAAGAAGCAGAAATAATCATACACATCTTTTACAAATCAAGTTGCTCCTGTGATTATTCTTGAACTACAACCCAACTCTAGTTGGCAGGAAGTCAGCCCTGAATTAAGATCAAGTAATGTTAGTATTAGTATTATCATATAAAAGGAGAGAAAACATCATAAGGACTAGGACTTAAGTCAATCATACTCACATCATCATAACTCAACCTACAAGAGCTCACTTCTTAAAGATGATTCCAACTTGCCCCTGCCAGCCCAACTGTTTGCTCCAATCTCAACATCAGTCCCCATCCTCACATTCTGAAGCTGCAAAAATTGGGGAAGAGAATTGAATAGTAAGTAAATAAGTCCAAATAGCTCCAGATAGAGGGACCGGAGGACTACTAACTCTAAACTAGGCCTGTCCAATTGGTTTCGGGTTTTCGGGTTAAACCGAACCCGAACCGAAAACGATGAAGTCGGGTATCGGGTTTTCGGTTTCAAACCGAAGCAACAGTTGGCGGTTTCGGTTTTTCTGTAACCCGAAAACCAATAAAAACCCGAAAAACCCGAAAGCTGTGATAGGGGTAAACGGTGACGTTTTTTGGACCTCTTAGGGACTTAGGGTTCGGGATCGCCTTGCGAGTTGCGAATTGCAACAGAGGAGCATTGCTCTGCTCGACTGCTCGAGACTGCTCGCCGAAACAGAGCCTCCCTTCTCAGTTCAACTTCTCGCCGCCGTCAACGTCTGGTGATATTCGTACGCCATCAGGTTTCTTATCAGCGTCCCGCATCTGGGTTTGAGTGTGAGCACGGGGAGCCGGAGGGTTTTCCCATGAACTTCGTAGCTGACCGCGGATTTCAAACTGTTGCTGCCATCTTCGACGGGGAGTATTCTCATGCCTAGATGTCGAGTAAGGAGCGAAGCAGCCGGAATCCATGCCTGATCATATACTAGTCTCCTTCTGCGGGAATCGATCAGAGACACCAATTCACGGACAACCCAAAATATCCCGGTGGGCTTGAGAAATTTTGCACCTGGAAAAGAAAAAGAAAAAAAATCCATCGGACCAAAAAAAAAAAAAAAAAGAGTGCAATCCAATCCCGGGTCAGATTCATTCAATGCGATTGAACTTTAGTATTGGTTGAATTTACCTAGTGATGCTTGGAAAGCATCGTGGAATAGATCGAATATGTCGAAACCATAGCGAGTACAGCTCTGGGATTCCTTGATCAACCCTGGAGGAGCCATTTCCAATATGTGGAGAAAGCTTGTGGAATCTTCCTCCTTCTGATCCTGGACACCACCACCCACGATCTGAAAGTACAGATATTCCAACAAATCCCGAGGTTGCTGATTGATGGGAACAGAATGAATACGATTATTGTTATCATCATCGTGAGAACGCAAAAACTGCAGGGGAGAAAGGTCCTGGTAAACCCTGGAGCAGGCAGCAGAAACAGAGTGCTCTGGCAGTAGAAACAGAGGGATCTGGTTCTCCAGCATCACCGCGTCATTCATCAGGATGGAACCGCAATCACAATCTTCTTGGAGCATCAGCCCGGCCAGGAAGAGGGAATCGAGCGCTAAAAGCGACGCCAGAGTAGAATCGAGGACGTCGAGATGGGAATTGTACTGCGCTCTGATCGGTTTCGGGTTCACCCGAACCGAACCAAAACCGCGGTTATTTCTCGGTTTTTTGTACCCGAAACCCGCAAAGCATCTGGTCGGTTTCAGTTTCGGGTTGGCGGAGTTCGGTTTCGATTTCTCGGGTTTTTACGGTTTTCGGGTTCGGTTACCCGACCCGACCCGAACCGACAGCCCTACTCTAAACCCTTGTCTATTTAGAAAGAACTTAGTGTCCACATCAAGTCGCCGCACTTCGAGTGATAGTAAGATCCACAGTCGACATGAAAGACAGAAGGTTCCATGCTCATCACTACAGTAAACCTAAAATCACAGAACTAGGAGAATGTTCGATCGAAACCGATAGAATAATTGAACGAAATAGCAATCCTACGCAGGGGAAGACATATGAGGAACTACATGTGAACCCTAACTTCATATATGATACAGGGACAGTGTCGTCTTCGATTGTTAGCTCAATCACCATCGACCTCCACTGCTGCTTTCACAACATCAATCCGGTGATTAAACCATATTTTCTTGCGGCTATTGCGAAGAAGCTTGCCAACGGCAGGAAGCACGAGTACGACCACTTTCTTAGCGATGCGATGAAGCTCCGCTCTGGCCTAGCGATCTGCCAGTAACATTGTTGATTCCGCTGTGGGATGTTCTCGAACTAATTGAAATGAAGACTTCCATAGTCTATGGCAGCGGCGATGGCGATGGCCGAGTTCGGAGCTCAGATCGACGATTTGGGGAGGAAAAGAAAGGCGAAAAAGAGGAGAATTGGGGATTTTTTTAGGATGAGGGTTATTTTATTCTTACTTTTGGTGGGGTAAGGAAATAGAGTTGTTCGCTAGCAACGGTTACTAAAACCTCGAAAGAAACCCTTGTTAAAATGATTTCCGAAATTTTTTGCAGGGGTTTATCTAACCCTTGCAACGTAACCCTTGGCATAGAGGGTTTTTTTTTTTGTAGTGTAGCAAAGAACCTCTTCCCCTTTGCTAAACCCTTTTGTTTAGAAACCCTTTTCCGTTCTCTCACAAAAGTGAAGAGGCAATACGTTTCAGTCCCTTTTATAGATGAGGAGGAGGTGAGATGGAACCTTCCTTATTTGCAATGCTTGATCAAAGGAGTGATTCTTGTGCTGTGATTATGCAATCAATCAGTTGATTGATTTCGACTTGATTTCCAAGATTCTAGGAAGATGATTTATTCCCAACGAGCTATTTTGTCGACTGTCTCTGATTTCCCAAATCTTCCTACAATCTCCCCTTAAATCAGAGATTGTCGATTGCCTGAAACAAAGAAGACGACACTACCTTTCCTCTTCTCTAAGGAGTTAGTATTTAACAAGAAGATAATTATTTCACATCTCTTTAAGAGGAACATTCAATCCGCATAGAGAAAAAGAGATTATCATCGATAGCAAAGCCGACACAGTTTTAACTTAAGCAATCATAAAAGGCCGAAGTAATCATAATCTATCACGAAATTTAGGCCGAGAACCATAAGACTAGCTAAACAATCGAACTAAGTTAAACATCATCACTAGTGTTGTTGTTGGTGTCACTGCTCTCGCTGGAACTAACACTAGTGCTGTTGTCGACTTCTTCCTTGACAGTGTCCTCGTCTCCACTGTCCTCGTCAAGGGGTTCCTCCCCTTCAATCGCAATCTCCAGAGCTTCAAGGTTATCCGCAGCCACAGGGGAGAACACAGGATCGAAAGTGATAAAGGATGATAGGTTTATCTCAAGGTGAACTAGAAGGGTCGACACAAGGGGACCGAAAGGCAGGGCTTCACCTAGGACAGGTTTAGTGAATCGCAGTAGTGACCCAAAAAATAAGTGAAAGTAATTCAGAGGGGTACCATGGACAGCATTCAAGATGATCCAAAGATCGAGAGGGAGAATAGTTGTGACAGAGTGATCTCTGGGAAGGAAGACTCGAACAATGTAATAGTGGAGGAGACGAAGGGGTAGGGGAAGGACAGTGACAGGTAAAGTATTATTTGGTCCGGGAGGATGGCCAGTAATAGAAAGGAATTCCTCAGCAAGGTTGAAGGCAAACAGAGGAAATTCGGACTCATCGGCTAAAGTAACCCCATGAACAGGAATATTCAAGAGCATGGTGAGATCATCAATATGAATGGCAAAGGCATGGCCAAAGACCAGAGAGTGAAAGGAACGAGATGACAGCCCAGGGGATTGAAGATTGGAATAGAACAGTTGGATAATTTCAGGGCAAAACGAGGTCGTTAGAGGAGCATCAAGGAGAGAGGTCCAACCAAGGTTTTGAACAAGGGAGTAATATCAAGGCCAGCGTCCACTAAAGCAGGGAACGGCACAAGACAGAAGGAAATCAAGGGGCGATTGAAAAAAACTGGATGTGACGATGATAGTTTGAGATGATAGGCTCAAGGAACAATGTACCCGTGTATGTGATGATGAGTACCATTGTAAGATTAGATAGAGAGGGAGCAGATGGAGAGTACACGGAAGAGACCTAGGGCTGGTAATTAAATAAACATGACATACTCAATCAAGGAAACTACTAATCAAGAAGAAAACTATCACACAAAAAGAAAGTAATAAATGAAGATTAAAACAGGAAGAAGAAAAAACTAAAAAAAAAACTAAAAAGGAAGCAGAGGTTAGCGAATGATGCTCTCGGAGAGAGCCTGATGAGAGCAAAGTCCGAGTTCATAGCACAAAAAGATGAATCGATCAGCAGGTAGAGATTTTGTGAAAATGTCAGCCAGCTGGAATTCAGTAGGAATATGATGTAGAGAAACAGTATGAGCCTGAACTAGATCCCGGATGAAATGATATTTCACTTCTATATGTTTGGTTCTAGAATGTTGCACGGGATTTTTAGTAATGCAAATGGCACTTGTGTTATCACAAAATAAAGGCATGGTTGGTGTTTTTATACCATAATCGGCTAGCTGGTTTTTTAACCAAAGAAGCTGAGTGCATGAGCTACCAGCCGCTATATATTCTGCCTCAGCTGTGGATAAAGCCACTACACTTTGCTTCTTACTAGACCACGAAACCAGAGAAGTTCCTACCAACTGACAACTACCAGTGGTGCTACGACGATCAGTAAGACTCCCAGCAAAATCAGAATCACTGTAGCCTAAAAGATCAAAGCTATCGTGCCGAGGATACCATAGATATACATCTGATGTGCCTTTAATATATCTAAAAATCCGCTTTAAGGCAGTTAAATGACTTTCTTTGGGTGCTGATTGAAACCGAGCACATAGACAAACAGAGAAGAGGATGTCAGGTCGACTGGCAGTAATATAGAGTAAAGAACCTATCATACCCCTATACTGAGACTCGTTTACTGGGTTTCCTGTCTCATCCTGACAAAGCTTAGTAGTAGTGGCCATCGGTGTAGGGCTGGGATTTAAGGAGTTGAAGCCAAATTTACTAAGCATGCAGGAGATGTACTTAGATTGATTAATAACAATACCTTCACTAGTTTGTTTTATCTGTAGACCCAGGAAGAATTGTAGCTCACCCATCATGCTCATTTCAAAAACACTTTTCATAGAAGCACAGAAATCAGAGCATAGTTGATCATTGGTTGAACCAAAAACAATGTCGTCGACATATACTTGAACCAAAAGAAGATCACTAGAAACACGTTTAATAAACAAAGTTTTGTCTACTGATCCTTGCTCAAAGCCTTGACTTAGTAAGAACGACGTGAGTCGTTCATACCAAGCACGAGGAGCTTGCTTAAGGCCGTAGAGAGCTTTATTTAGTTTAAAAACATAGTTTGGGTGTTCATGACTTTCAAAACCAGGGGGCTGGGTTACATAGACATCTTCTTCTATGATACCATTTAAGAAGGCGCTCTTAACGTCCATCTGATATAATTTAAAGTTCATATAACTAGCAAAGGCACAAAGAAGACGGATTGATTCAAGACGAGCAACAGGTGCAAATGTCTCATCATAGTCAATCCCTTCTTCTTGTGAGTGTCCTTGAGCAACTAAACGAGCTTTATTACGGATTATTATACCTTCTTCATCAGTTTTATTCCGAAAACCCCATTTTGTTCCTAAAGGAGTCACAGTATCAGGACAGGGAACTAGATCCCACACATGAAGATGTTCAAATTGAGTCAATTCTTCAATCATAGCATAAGACCATTCATCATCTTTCAGGGCTTCCTTATAGTTTCTAGGTTCATGTTGAGAAACAAAGACATATTGTCCAGGAGTGTACTTACCTCGAGTTCTGACTCCATCTGTTATTTGGCCAATGACCTGACTTGGGGGATGTCGTTTCTTGATGTGTGCTGGAGCTGTCAGAGTTTCTTCCGGATCCAGATTGGGAGTATCAGGTTCTGGATCATTCGAGTTGACTGCGAGAGGGTCTTCAGATTCAGTAGGAAGTGGTGTAGGAATCTCGTGATGTGTGTCTACCTCTGAATTAACATTTGCTGCAGGAGTTGAAGAGGCTGCATCTGTAGATTGAGTCTGAGCCGAAGCATTTGATGAATGTGTCATCTCTGCAAAGTCAAATACTTCCATATCCGGGTTGCTAGGTTGCAACGCCATATTAGTATCATCAAAAGTTACATGCACAGTTTCC